CCAGAAACCTCTGAGTCACTAGTAGAGTCTAGCTCGTGACGAATCTGAGCGATTTTCTCCTTGAAATGCTTGGCAAAGTCGTCACAGCAGGCCTTCGAGGGTGGAACCAGATCTTTCTTAGGATCTGGACGAACCAGGCCATGCACCACTCGAAAAAGCTCTGCCGGACGGCATTTTGAGGAGGCAGTGGAGAAGAATTTCTTTTTCGCCGCCCTCCTTCATGGTTCTGGCTTCTCTGTATGTGCTTGATGGAAGGTATGGGCTGGGGACTGTGTATTTTCCCCTATACATAGGGGATCCATAGCCTTCCCAGTCTACTAGAAAAAGGACTCAGGGCAAAGGACTCAGGGCAAACTCTCCTAACTTCTAGAATTTGGGCTACATGATATTCTTCATGCCCATCTACTTCTTCTGATAGAATGGAACATCCTGGGAAAGGATTTGGCCAGAACAATTTTAACTGGGACACATGAAAAACTGGGTGTATCTTGAGGGTATGGGGAAGATTCAGTTTATAGCTCACACGATTTGTGTGTTGGATAACTGGATAGGGGCCCTGGTATTGGTAATTAAGTTTGGCAGAGGGGTGGCTGGACCTATAATGCTCCATGGAGAGTCAAACTTTGTCTCCTACCTGACTAACATGTCCCTCTTGGCATTGTTGGTCCACCTGAGCTTTGTATTTAGCTTTGGGCTGTTCCAGACAATGTATCAATTCTGTAAGTACCTCCTGAATGTGAGTTACATGATCATTGGCAGGAGGGACCAGAAATGATATCAGGAAAAGCTTCCTCACTGTCAGAGAAATACAACAGTGGAACTAGCTGCCTAGAGAGGTGGTGTGCTCTCCCACATAGAGACATTCAAAAAGAAACTGGGCAGCCATCTGAGTGGATGGTGTAAACTGGTGCCTGGCAACAGCAGGAGGTTGGACTCGATGGCCTTCATGGCCCCTTCCAACTCTCCTATTGTATGATTTTATGCAGCTGGAGTATGTAGGAGGTCCCACAGCTGATCCTCCACATTGGCATAAAATGGGTTCTGGCCAGTGCAGGCATGGCTAATGTTGTTATATGGAAATTCTGCCAAGGGCTAATAGCTACTGCTAGACGAGATCAACCCTGACTGCTCTTTAGAAGGCCAGATACTGAAGATGAAACTCAAATACTTTGGCCACCTAATGAGAAGGAAGGACTCCCTGGAGAAGAGCCTAATGCTGGGAACAACAGATGGCAAAAGAAGAAGGGGACGGCAGAGGATGAGGTGGCTAGATGGAGTCACTGAGGTAGTCGGTGTGAGCTTAAGTGGGCTCCGGGGGATGGTGGAGGACAGGAAGACCTGGAGGAATGTTGTCCATGGGGTCGCAATGGGTCGGACATAACTTCGCGACTAACAACAACAACAAGACTTCTCCTCTATCAATTTGTCCAATCTTCTTTTAAATCCATGCAAACTGGTGTCCGTCACCACATCATGTTGAACAGAATTCCACAGTTTAACTACATGCTGTGTGGAAAAAATACTTCCTTTTATCTGCTCTGAATATTCTACCAGTCAGCTTCATGGGATGACTCTGGGTTGAAGTCAGGGCTGACTTTGGGAGGAAGGATGAGGTGGATAGAGCTGTAAAATGCTTACAGTAGCAACTTTTCAGAACATAAAATGTTGTAATATTAGTCTTTTAGCTCTACAGGTGTGTGGAGAATCCATTTGTGCTGACCATGCATTTACTTCCAGGAAGCTGGTAGATACGTTAAGAGGAGATATAAATTAGTAAATATTAAATAGTACTCCGATATAACATTTATCCTTATAATTATCCTGAAGAGAAGCAATTATAGGGCACTGCAAAACGTATGGGTAAAATATATTAGCTGTGCTATACTGTAAGCAATTAGACAACCCAACTTTAGACATGTCATATGAAAGAAATGTGTTGCATCTAAAAGATACAGAAGTTTTCTTGAATAAGACTTAACCTCATACTTCAGATCCGATGCTACAACAACACTCTATTGATTAGGTAAGATGTGACAATCCAGTTCCTTATTCCAATCTTGCTTCAGACGCTGTGTATTATGTTTATTTATGAATAATGTATATATAAATATGGATCACTGTTTGATATAATTGATTGGTCCCAATAAGTGCTTCCGAAGGAAACACTGAAAGTGGCAGGGCCAAATCTTGATTGAAATAAATGATACACTTGAACGTACTGCCATTCAGCTATAGAAGGTAAATTGTATTTGGTACCAGGAATTACAAAAACTCATCATCAGTAGCCACTAGTTGATCTGAGATAAGAATCAACTTATCCTTCAAGTATGCCACAAAAACATGTCTTACCAATTGTTAAATCCGGGTTTCTCCATTCAGTCAATTTAGCACAAGAAAATGGATCAGACGGTACTTGTCATGACACGATGCTGCAGAAGGGACTTTATCCATGTAATGTGCAAAGAACCTAATGCCATCCTGGAAGGAATATTCCAAAAATGAACAAGGTAGAAAAGTCAAATCACAGTAGAAACCACCACCACCTCAAATTTAGCCCAGGCTGACAAATAGCCCTGATGGTATAAAGCAAGATCTAGGAAAATGAAGTAAATAAATAAAGGCAAACCTACCTTTTTAAATTGGAAATTGCATCTTTTCAAGGATACTCATGGCAAGGAGGACTCCCACACTGCAGAAAAATCTATGAAACACAGCACTGAGCTTTTGAAACTATTTGCCAGGTGGAAATAACATTCTTGCATATAACATAGATAATTCAAAATGTAACATTCTTCATGCACGTGTTTCCCATACCCCAGAAATTCATCTTTCAAAATATCCATCCATCAATATGCCATGCAATCTCATTAATCAAGTAATTCAAATTTACCCTGATCATTTGTGAGATGTTATTACCTATTTGGGAATAATTATTTCCAGAGACATCAAGATTCCATCAACATTGCCAGTAAGTTAATACACTATGAAATGCAGTATTGGTTCAGGTTTTAACCAGTTAACTGAATAGCCAAACAAATCATCAAAAGTATTAATCACATCAAAACCAAAACTGATGTCTAGAGTTTAGATGGAAACAATAAAAGATCAGCAGCATAAAAATGTTACATTTTATACACAAGTATGAATGCTACCATTCTGACAGTACACTCCAGAAGTTTCAAACAAAAATTAAATACCAAAAGGGAAATTAGACACCCCTGTCTGGAACCTCTCCCAACTGACAAGGAATCCAAAATGAGACTACTGATCATAATTCTTGCTTTTAAGATTGAAAATAAAATGCTGAGCCATTAAAAAAAACAGAAAAGCCAAAATTGCTCAATGAAAATGCATTTCCAGTAAATTTATCAATGGTACCCTGATCTGTTCTGTCACTATGGGGGGGAACAATCCTATAGCCCCTAGACATTGTCTGCAGGGTCATAAGATGGTTTGAATTCCTGGATCCAAAGTCAGAAACACCTCGCTGATCTTGGAACTGAGAAAAAGAATTCTGGTGCCCCTTCCCTATTCCTTCATGGCTAGAGCAGAAAAACCACACTGGCTGTTCTCCAGTCAGGAAGCCAACCTTGGAGAGGGGGGCAAAGGTGAGATTTCAGGGAACATGAAAGGAAGGAGCCTGGGATGGCCAGAATCTGAGGTTTCCTGAAGTTGCTGCAGCCTCCTTCCCTCTTCCTTTCAAACACCGCTGCTGGACAGCTGAATATGGCAGCCTAGCAAAAATGCGAAATCTTCCCATTCTGTGCTGCATGAGTATGTGGTTCCTGCTTATTTCTGTAGCATGGAATCTATCTCACAAGTAAAGTCAGGTTATCAGTCCACTTAGTATGTTTAATTAAGCTCAACTGATCTTCTTGAACCTATGTTGAGGTAACATACTGCAATCTACCTGCCAGAATAGCAGCAAATGTTTTAAATCTCCATTAATTAAACAAGCTGAATGTCCAGTAAGTGTGATCCTTGCCAGTAATAGTGGCATCATCAAAGGGAGCCCAATTCAAAAATATGTTCATAAAAACTGTGAAGCTTTGGAACTAACAGGCTGGAAAATGTTTTGTACCACTCAGTTGGAAATCCATTCAGACCAGGTGATTTTTCCAATTGCTTTCCTATTTTCCTCCATAAAGAAAGGAATTGAGAAAAACAGCCATTTGTGAAGATCAACATGAGAGATCAAAATGAAAAAGCGTATATTGTACCTTTCTCAGTATTAATACCTAAAAATAGCCTTTCATTTTTTCCTGTATAATGGGCCAGTATCTTACTGGGATCTTCACCATTTTCCTAATATTCCTGTCACAAACAAATTATGGCAAAGTATGCTGGTGGTGAAAGAATATTATTCAACTCATTTTAACTTTCTGCAACTTCTGAAAAAGTTGCATAGTTGAAATCTGTGGGTTTGCCATTTGTTCAACTTTTTATTTAGAGATATTTGAGGGTTTATGTTTTATTGTGTTATGCTACCTTGGGAGGACCTGAAAGGCGGCCAAAAATATTTTAATTAATTAATAGCATTCACTAGTGCAAAGGCACTAGTCAAAGGCATTCCCTGTATGCATGTTTTTAGTACTTCTGTAGTGGGCTATCTCATTCATTCAATCCCCGCCAGTCATCCACTCGTCTGGATGCTTACTCAGAAGTAATCTGACCCATTTCAATAGAATCTATTTCCATCAGCAAAGTGTGCATAGGATTGCAACCTGAAGCACCCCGACAGACAGACAACCTCTCTCTCAAAACCTTCCAAGCAAAGCGAGACGATCCCATGGCAAGGGATGCACGCAGAGGCATTCTGGAGTGCAAGATGTGCCATTCCGGGAGCTCGCTTTTCCCGCCGCTCCAATCCGTGGCGAAGCCTGCAGGCCTGCAAGCGTCGCTGCGTCTCCCACCTGGAGGGCGAGCGAGGGTGGCGTCGAGCGCCGGCCAAGACTGGAAGGCACCGCAGAGTGTGACGTTGCCACTCGAGCTGAGCGGAGGGGAGGGGAGGAAAGAAAACAGCTGCATTGCACCGAGGTCAGCCTTTGCTTCGCCGTATCGGGTGCGGGCTTCCTTGCTGCAGTCGGAGAGGCGCCTTCCAGCAGCTCCAGCAGAACAGGCCTTGGCCCTCCGGTAAGTAAGTTTATAAGGGTGGCCGGAAACGCGGGTGGACAAGAGAGGGAGGAGATGCCGGGTGTGGAGATGGGGATTCTAGCAAGAGCTGCTCTCGTAAGTAGCTGCAAAAATGGCTGTTATTGCAGTTTTTTCTTTTTGGGTGTGAGATTTTAAACTAACGTCCTCTTTAATGCAAGCTCTTTGCTTTGTAATGCAAACTAACGAGGGGGTCGGAAGATCTGCATAATCCATGCTCCTCACTAGCTAGAAAACTTGGCTGAGTTTCCATGAATAAGCTACGGTGTTTGTAGGAACCGGTAGGTGTGGTCCAGCCAAATAGCCGAGGATACTAATCTTGGATGAGTTATAATAGGTATTGTATAGAAATATTTTTTTAAAAATGCAGAACATAAACCAAAACGGTGCAGTAGTTAGCAAGTAGTAGTAGAAGCTAAATTTGTTCAATGCCAATACGATATATGGGGCATTTTAACTATATGGGCGGGGGGGGGATGAAAATGGTATCCATAAAGTAAGATAATCATAATTTAGTTCTCAGCTCTAGAATAAATATTGGGCATTTCTTCAGCTGGTTAAATTTCAGTCTGGACGATGGAATACTTCCCTGTTCTAGCCTGTACCTATATATTATAAACGATTAATTTCCGAGTGGAAAATTATGGGCAGCTAGAAGGCAACTGGTTTGTGGTTGCATTTTTGTTGTAATGGCCATGAGATTGCATTTGAAAATAAACCTTATTTCCTTAAGATCTCTGTCACAAACTAATTGGAGGGGGCTTTGGGGGGGATGTTTTGTGTCCTAAAATATTCAGTTCAATTGTATGTATATTCTGGAACAAAGCGAGTATTGTAGGTCAAAAGGGTTAAAAAGTCACAAACCTTCTAAATCATGTGAGCAAACCATGACATTTTGGATTATTTTAATTTTTTTCTTGGATTCAAGACCCCTTTAAGCTCTGAACCCAGAGACGTGGTGGATATACTAGGAAATAACACCCTATTGAATACAAAGGAGCATACCTCCAAATAAGTACAGGCTTGCCACCTTTGTACAAATGCTTAAATCCTGAGTAAATTGGCAATTCAGGTTCTAAAAGAAGGACGCTCTACATGTAAGACTTGTGTTGCAGTTGCACAATCTAGCCAGTTTTGTTAATATATAAAAGGTGCATTTCTTTGTAGGTTTAGACAAAAAAAAGTACTAAAGATGGGGTGCTGTCCATGCTTCAGCCAGCCCTGGGTGTGGGGAGGATTTTGTATGTTTAGGTATGCATAGGATTGCTCCCTAATTTCTTTTGGACTGGGTGGAGTATGTGCAAACCATATTGCTTCAGGAATAATTTTAGGCCACAATCCAGTATCTGCTTGGCCCGGAGTAATCCCCAGTGAACAGAGTGGAACTTCTTAGGCGACATGAATGGGACTGCGCTGTTATTTTTTAAAGTTGAAAATGAAAACCTTTGTGGGGCTTATGATGTTAGATTTGAAGAACTGCCTTTGTACCATACCGCCAACAATGTTTAAAAATAACCCTCACAGTTAGACACTGCCAGACTCTGCTGGCCTGTATTTATGGATTATATATATTACAATGAAAATCTCTGGTCTGTTCAAAAGAGGATTAAAAGCACGAACAAACTGCCTTTGTATCTTTTCATCAGTATCATTGATGGGGAGGGTAAGCCACTGAAAAAGGGCCAACTTTCCATTTCTGAGGTGGAGGAGATTCTGACAGATCTCTAAAGATTAATACTCTGTTTGCTCATGTCTTTCGTTCAGGGACACGCTTGCAGTCTCATTCATTCATTCTGCTAAATCATTTACCAGGAATGTTTTCAAAATGGCCTTTTGAGATGCAGTCCTTTGCATGTTTTCTTATAATGACATCCCACTGTGTCCCCTTGTAGGCGCATTTAGAATTTCATTCCAAAGCTCTTACAAAATAATTGTGACCAAGCCTCCCCTAACCCGTAGGAAGATCTCCTGCTCACTTAAACTCTCAGACCATCAAAATTGCTGGCTTGGCTTCAGCCAAGGATGGGAGTCTTGAAGTTTTCAGAGGTAGTTTCAGCTCCACTGGATCCTCTTGCATAGGCTCATTATCTGTGTGAATTAAGTTACCTCCAGTCACTGCTTATTTGACTCTGCTTTGTTATCTTTCCTTTCTGTGACTTGTGTTTGTCTTTAGGTGACTGAAATCACCTGGTTATTTGTCTTTGTCTTTTTGTTGGTTAAAGCTATTGCTAGGGGACAGAGAGGGTATAGATTCTGACACCATCCATGGAGAAAATGCAGCAATATCTTTGCATGAAGTTGGGGTTCTGGGGCTTGTTAATCTGGACCCTTTTTAAGCTCAAGTACTTACCAATTTCAGCAATTTGTGAGCAGCCATGATGGACTAAAATGGTGACAGTCTGTGTAGTAATATTTTCTGGTTCAGCTTTGCATCCTGGAGTGCCATCCTTGAAGCCCACTGTTCCAATGCTCTGTGTATTCCAGTATGATATGTCTGGAAGAATAACTTATGTATCACTTATTGACCTATGGGGTTTGGACTATCTAACATCAAAAGAAGCTTCTTGCCTTCTTTTTACTATGTGCCATTTAAAAATATGCATTGAATTTTGTTTTAACAAAAACAAAACTCATAGTTGCACAAATAGAAAGCAGTGCAAACAATGTAATAATGATACACATACTTAAATAATACAATAACAGTGCTACCTCCACTAGGACCAATACATGCTATTTAATGTAAAATCATTTATTCATTCAAGTTGTTCCATGTGGTATTTTCTATATATTTTTCTCTGAAAGGGGTACTTGGGTAAGTTAAGTTTTTTTTCTTCCACATGCTGAAATCTTACTTTCAAGTCAATGTCAATAAGAGCTTACACATTCTGGCAACACTGTGCTCTTAAGTTTCAGATCATCAGGATAAAAATGTTTTAATAAATAATAAATAAAATAAATGTGAGTTTCTGGAAGGTTGGGATGGAAAATGAAGCAGCCTACTTATGCATTCCACATTGAAGTGTTACTTCCTCAGTATCTTAATGAATACATAGCTATATTCTGGTCAGAGCATCAGAACAATGCCCTTTCTTGGTTAGTGTGCAGTCTCTGACAGAGGTAGAATACACGGGAAGTCAAACCACTTTCTTACCAAGAATGCTCAGAATAGGACTGATCTCAAGGGTCAGCATGAGCGAGCACTTGCCCAGGGCCCACAATATCAGCTGGGCCCCAGTGACTGAAATCCCCTGGGCTTGCACCGCCTTTGCACTCTTGCAGTCTGTGTGTTCACCTGCTTCTCAGTGTGGCCCAGACAACAGTGATAATGGGAAGGGGGAGCCTTGATGAGAGAGAGAATGAGGACCAATAGCAGCTCATGGCAATGGAGGAAAGAAAGTAGAGTTGCTGAGACAGGGCCCCAGTGAGAAGGCCTTGCCCAACATGCCTTGAAAACCTACAGCCAGCGCTGCTCAGAAATGTTAAGCTACGGACCAGCATGTGACACTTCAGTCTGGAGCAAAGAATGCCCCATCCTCAAGTATTTCTAGAATCATGCTCTGGGTAGCTGCTTCTTTGTGTCTTGCATGCTCCCCATGGTCTGAGCTAATTTCTACTGAGCATACTAGATGTGTTCCCCCTTTCAGATAGATTTTTCTTCAACAAAATGCTGCATTACAGGACCTGCAAATAACATACTTGGTTCACTCCTAACAGAGAGTCTTAATGTATCTGTTTTTCCATCCAGAGCTGAACCAAAACAGCATTTGTTGCCCTGTTTGCAGACTTCAAGGAGAGGTTTTAATTCAACAATCCTTCAATGCAACTTATGAATGGACCAAAGCATTGGCTCGATTGCGTGCCTGCCTGTAGTGACTAGGCTCTTGTTTGGTGCAATTAGCTTTTCTTTCAGCTACATAATGCAGCACCAAAGTGGACACAAGAAACAATTCCTTCTCTCTTATTTGGTTTCATGTCATTGCTATGTAGCCAATCAGATTTCTTTATATGATGACATCTGAAGCCAGGTCAGAGGGAGGGCATTTTTTCCTACCTTTCCTCTGGCAAAGCCAGAGAAGGGAAAAGGAAATTGCACGAAGCATTGTTTGGTACCAAAACCATAAATGAACTGGTAGTGAAAGGCTAGCAAGACCTTTCTGTGAAAGACTGAAAGTGATGATGGTTATACATTATTTCCAGCACTGGCGGCAACTGGTGTATACTAGTTGCTGGGGAACATGGGTGGGAAGGGCACTCTTCCATTCATGTCCTGGTTTGGTTGGCCACTGTGTGAACAGAGTGGTGAACCAGCTGTGCTTTGGGTCTCATTCAGCATAACTTTTCTTATGGTCTTTACGTCTCCTTCCCCCAAATGCCCTTCTTACATCAAAATCCCTCATTTTAGAACATTCAGCTCATCTGTGTCACATGCTGCTTGCAACCAGCAGTGTTCCTGTGCAGCCAGTCCTCACAGGCTTCAATCCCTGGTCCTACAACTCATGGCTTGTTTGTGGTTCTTAGAACCCCTTAGAATTCTCAAGCCCTGGGAGACTGGCAGTAAGGGAGACAACCCTGGCCATTATGTCTTGCTGTAATCATGCTTACCCATTCTGAGTTGCAATATAATGGGTACATTCATGAAATCCAGAGGTACTGCATGAGAGCAAGTATTGCTCCTTGTTGTGTATCTCTGTGTTATATGATGCCCTTTGTTCTATGCACAAATTATGTTTTACAGCTCATGCTAAAATATCAAGCATGAAGCTGTCCTTGGAAAGGTGTTGTTTTCTTTTTCTCTTTTGTGGTTCTGTAGCACACTTACTGAAGACTGATGGGTCACTTTCTCAGTGGATCTCAGCCCAGTAGACAAGACCGCAGTGCAGTGATAAGCTGCTTGCCAGGAACTGCCATATATTTTTATGGAATGAAAAGGCCCACTCCTTACAGAACTGACCTGTGCTTACAGTGTTTCCCTGATGTGCACTTTTCCTTTTTTTTTTTTTTTTGAACAAAACTGCCCAAGAGCTTTGAAGGGAAAATAGTGTGTGCTTTTCTGCATGCAGTAAACTGATGCTGCGTTCTCTCCCTCTGATTATGTTGGGTTTTTTTTAATGTAAAGGAATTTCAGTAGCATGTGAAATTAAACTTGCTGAATGGATGTGGGTTCAGATTCAGCCTAATGTTTTTCCTGTATCCGTAAATGAAGTTTTATAGTAGGTGTCCCCAACTTGGTGACCTCTATCTTGAGGGAACTAGGTTGGAAAAGACTATTTTATGGGACGAAGGACATTTAATAATAACTTTTAAATAATGTTTTGAGACACAGACAAGTGACAGTTACTGCTGAACTATCTGGCATTTATTGAAGCACCCAACTGATACTGTTCCTCTAGTAATGTCTAGTACAGACCTGTATAAGGTATGCTTATACAGTTATCCCTACATATCTTTGTGATGAAGAAAGAGCACTCCAGAAATATTTGCTGGCGTATCCAAGCTGTGCAGGGCATTAGCAAAGCTTGTGAATAAAGTCCTGAAGTCTGTTTGTCCTGTTACAGACCTTGTGAATTTCACTGGCACTTGTACTCCAGAAGAGAGAAAGGAAGAAATAAGCTATTGCAGTGCTTTGAGTCTTCTCACTCCAGTTTTATCCTGGCAGTGGAAGGGAGCTTATTTAGTGTTTCTCTGCACTTCTAGGAAACCTGGAGACATTTGGCCCATGAGCCAGTACAGAGGCACCTAGTTCAGGGTGTCCGGTATCCAAGAAGGTTTAACCTACAATATCTCCCAGTGACTATGGAGGAGCATTCTAAAGTGTAGGACTTTGGGAGCAATAAAAGTAAAAGACCTTGGTTAACTATTGTTTTTCATTCTGTTTTGCAGCATCCTCCATCTCTCTTATTAATTTTGATCTGGAAACCATGTCAAGCAAAGGAAAGGTAAGGCACTTCAGCCATGATCATATGAGTCTGAGCCCTTGTTTGCTTAAGATACTTAAACTGCAAACCTGTGTGCTTACCTGCAAATAACTCCAAATGAACTCCTTGGAACTTACTTCTGAGTGGGAGTACATAGGATTGCATGATAAGGCTTGATAACCACAACCAGACTGACTTGAGATATTAATGGGTGTCATTCCTAATCTTACAACACTTTATAAAGAAGGAGGTTAGTATAATGATATTGCATGTCTTCATATCTTCTGGAACTTTCTGTCTTCTGAAGCAAGTAACACTTTTTCTCCTGGCAGTGGCAGTTTTTTATGAAGAGCAAGTTCCCAAGCCCAGTTTACATTCTTTCCTGCTGCAGCCAGCATAGATCTAAACACAAAACAGATGTATATTGGAGTTTCCAAAATGAGATCACAGAGAACAAGTAGCATAGGCAAGGATGTCCCCATAGCACTGGAAACAGGGAGAGAGGGATCTGTCTGTTCAGGTACTTAAGTGTGGCATCCAGAGCAGATGTGTCAGAATACTTAGCTGCAGGTTGTTGCAGACCTGGGGCTTACTGAAAGCTGTGTTGGAGCCTTGTAGCCTCAATATATTTTCTCCATAGAAATCTTGACCTCATGAACCTAAAGATTCTCCTTGACTCCCTGCCTTCTCTACCAAAAGCTAGACCTGCCATGAAGAACACTGGTGTATTGTGCTAGTTGAGAGCCTGAGATGTAAATGGTAAAGTCTCTAGTCTGAATCTTGTTTTTGCCATGAACTCACTAGGGGAATGATCTTATGGCCCCTAGATGTTAGCTGAGGGGCCAGAGGATGGTTTGAATTTCCACTTCCAAGTCTGCAGATGGTGCTCCAGCCTCAGCACTGGGATTTGGAACTCTGATTCCCCCTTCCTCATCTCCTTGCAGCCAGAGTGGAAAGACACGCACCAGCTGCTCTCAGAGTGCAGAAGTGTCCCCAGAGAGAGGTTAAAAGGGCATGGGGAGAGGAAGAGACTGGGGTGGCTGCTCTGGTTTTCTCCCCACCCCCACCCCCGAGGCACTGCTGCTGGATAGTTGAAAATGACGGTCTGAGTAAAACTACAGAGTGGGAAAAGCAGGAAGATGAAGATCACCTCTGTGGCGGTTCTTGCTCTGCACGGGATAAGCGTGAGCGTCAGGGTGTGGACTTCCCACAGTACGACTGAGCCCTAGCTGGCTCTAGTCTAGTCATGCTGCTTTCTCATCAGTACCCTACCCATCCCATCTGCCCATGGGGGATAATAATGCTGGCATACTTGGGAAGATTGTTTAAGGGTTACAGCCACACAATGCAAGTGAGGACTTGAATGTGTAGTATGAGTGTTATTCATATTATCATGAATTGCAGTGTTTCAGGTGGTAGACTGGGGCCCGGTCTGTAATAACTCATCTAGAACCTGCTTTTTTAGTTAGTTTATGTCATATCAAAGCTACCTGTATGGCAGGGTGGCACTGAAAGGCAGAATAACTTTTTCAAATGATGTCTGTTTTGTCTTAACATCTTGATGCAACTTTATTTAATCCTTTGGAAGATTTAGACCACTGCTCCAGTGGGAAAGATCCTCAGTATGGCTAAAATATAATGATATACAACCCTGTATATGTACATACAAAACCCAGTGATTCTTGGTCCCTTGACAAATAGCAGAGGTCAGAATGTGCTGTATTTCAGCTCTGCAATCCTTGAGGAATTTACAGTTTGAGCTGAGTTTTCTTTCTGGTAACCGTTTCCCTCCAGCTGCTCCTTCCTATGGCCCCTAGCTGGGAACAGGATGATCTTTCTTGTGCTGTAATATTCCTCCTGGGAGTGGGGAGTGCCTTTGGTCCCTTGAAAGATAGTAGAAGCAGCTATAGTATATGCCCTTCTGCTGAGAAGTCCTGAACCTCATCTTTTGCAGGTGTAATTTTTGCAGATTTGATGACCCGCACGCTTGCCATCAATAATTAAGTGGGTTTTTAGGGGGAGGGCTGGGATGCGAAGTGGAGCTGAGCATGAGCTGTGGCTGGAAGAGGTTTCTGCTGCCCCTACTCATGGAGGCATGGTGGCCCCTCTGGACACAAGCCAGGCCCTTCTTGTGGATCACCCCAGCTGTAGCAGGTGTCTTCCAACCGTCCTCCTCTGTGGGGATGGGTTTTGCTGGCGTTCCACCTTGGCTGGCTCCTAGCAGGCGACTAGGTTTAAGTGTTCAGGTTTTGCGTGGGACTAGAGATATTTGTGGCTTTTCTACTTTTTCAGGGGTTCTGTATGCCTAACCCCACGAATGTGGAGGGCTGACTGTAGTATATTCACTTCCTAAATAATGTTGCTTGATCATCAAGCCCTTAATCTGGAATGGAGGTGTTGGGTCCTGCTGTGGCTTGGACCCAATTTCCACCCAGACAATTCTATGCTCTGTGTGTGTGTTCCCTGATAAATTATCTAGTAGTGGTAAGAAAATAATAGTTGTGATATTCCAGAAGAGGAAATGCAGAGGAAAGCAGGGCAATATAGCTCTGTACTACTAACATGTGGTTTGACAATAACTACTGAATGCCAATTCCCCTAGCTGGGTGTTTGCTTCCTTTCTAGAATTGAATGCAGGTTTCAGAAGCAATGCAATCCCCTGCAAAGCCTGTTTCCTAGAAATGTAAGTAGAGTGAGTTACTATTACCAGTAACTCCTCTTTCATTTTTCTGGAGAAACTGTTCTCCATCTTCATTTTAGTCATGGATGTGGTGATTTAGTCACCCGCATTCCATAATAACTTCTGGTGCCCTGTTAATTCCTGCCTCCTTTGTTTGATGGGCCATCATCATATGCGTACAATGGGCTTGTTTTGCTGATTGGGGTGGCCATCCAGTTGTTTCATTCAGAGATGGTCCGGAATGTTGGTCGTGCTGCATGGCTATTGCCAGACAGGCTGACTGGCTGCAAATGGCGCCTCACCATTTTGCGCATTCAGAACCCCAAGCCCACCCTGCATGAGACCTCTCCACAGGCAGGCAATCCTTCTGAGAGAGCCAGTGGATCTCCCTTACCCCTTGATGCGTTCATTAGCACAGAGCCCTGATAAATATTTCAGGGAGCCTTGGCGGAAATCCCCTGGATCAGGTGTCAATGAACTGCTTGCACAGCTGTTGTTCTTGCTGCAGTTGCTGCTGCTGCTGGAGGGCAGTTCTTACTACTGAGTCTGTTTCTGAACCCAGGAGCAGAGGCATGGGCACTGTTGCACCTGTTGCCACAGGTGGAAGCAGTGGACATACATAGGAAAGTTGAAAGCAAGAGATGCTTTAAATATCAGATTGTGACAACTTCAGAAAGAGATTTAATACACAGTTCAGAGTTGGCTCTGAAATCCAGTGGCTTGCTTTGTGGGAGCAGTGTTTCTCCCTAGGCTGTCCATTTTAGAAACTATTTAGAAACAGTATTCACATGCTCACACTGTGCTTCAGGTTTCTTTCTTTAAAAATGTGGATAATTGCATTCCCTCCTCCTTACTGGGTAAGACCACTGGGGGCTGAGATCTCCACAGCACTATGCCAGTGGTGGGATAGTGAGCTTCAGGGTTTGGTTTGAATCAGTGTATGTAAGACAGAATCTGATTTGTTCAGTCATCATGGGGACGGAGATGCATTTGTGTTAGCCTAGTCTCTAAGCCAGAGGTGGAGGCAGCATGTGGCCCACCAGGTGTTTTGGCTTACAACTCATGTCAGTCTTAGCACAGCCCGTGCGGAGGGATGATGGGCAGTGAAGGCTAAAGCATCTGGAGGGAACACAAGTTGGCCATACCTGTTCAGCTACCACATAAACACTTTCAAGAGAGAACACTTCAGGTCTTTGGGTTTTGTACTAGGGATTTCAAAGAAACATCTTCCAGGAGGTTTGAAAAGAGGCTGGTTGAACATCAGAATCCTTATCCAAAACGTGCACTCTGAATATCATCATCCTGGCTTTCTGCATTGCAGACGGATGCATTTGTGAGACCATCTCTGGTGGTGATAGCCAGTTCTAATGCTGGGGTGCAGGAAGAGAATACTTTCTTCAGTACTTTGCCTCTTTTCCACTTTTTTGAGATTATGGCAGATGGTCAGGCAGACATGCCCCATATGTTCTCAACAAATGTTATATGGTTGGAGTCCCATGTTTTTGCTTAGTGCAGAACTGAGGGTGCTTCAAGTGGACGCTGTTCCAGATGGTGAATCCCTGTGGTCAGCACTGGCCTGTAGCTCCTCCTGTCCTTGTCATGGATTAGCAAGGACAGAGGAAAAACTATGTCTAGACTGCAACAGTCAGTTGGTAATGGATGCACTGTGAACCCCCAGACAGATGTATCCGTTAAATCTGTAACTGTGCTCTTGACATGCCTTGCCAGATTTCATTGCAGTATCTCAAGATGCAAAGAACTGGATTACAAAACAACAACTGATGCTTAAGGGTTGCACTCAACAAAATCCTTAACTTGTGGCCCCAAAATGTTAGGGGCATCTGTCAACGCTAGACTATTTGTGCCAAAGATCTTAAGGCGGGGTTTCTCTGTGGTTGCTGAGGGTAAACAAACAAAAAGGGCATTCTGCTCATATTGTAGAATTGGTGTTGGTTTCCTGACAACTCTCCAAAGCCTTCCAGCAACAGCACAGGTGCACACTTGAATCTCTTCCATGTCTAATAATGCGTGTAGATGTAATGCCGAAGCAGAAAGACTTGAAAATGCCTGTTGAGGTCATGCAGATTCTGTTTCATGGGAATCCATTTATTCCAGCTGCTTTCCCAGACAGCCTGTTCACAGTGCAAGAGGAGTGATGTTACACATTTGTTGCCATATGTCTTTGCTTAAAGTAGGAGTATTCCTGTTCCACTGGTATCATTTCTCCTCAGTGACAGCTGTGCGAATGCATCGTCCTACCTTCATCCTACGTTCTGGCAGCAATGCTTGAGCATTGTCATTTGTGCAGGTCTCACAGGCACTTTGGATGGTGCCTCTGGCACGGGGAGTGGTGAGAGAAGGACCCCACCCACCACTCCCTGCGTCATTGTTTCATAAGCTACTGCACTGTTTTGTTTCTTCTTCATCTAATATCCGTTTTCCATCAGTCAGGTGTGGTATACCCACGTGGCACTTCAAGCAGTGAGTTACACCAGCAGTTTTATGATGCTTGCAAGAAAGTGTGAGCTTCTCCCTGACATGTTTACCTTCATATGCAGGTTATTTGTTTATCCTGAGGAGTATTAAATACCAAATCTTCATGTGCATCCTGAATTGATTCAGTTAGCATGTTGTTGCACCAGTTTGTAGGGTTAATTTGCTTGGTAAGGATGGCAAGTGCCACTTGAAGGATGGAAAAAATGGTAGGGAAGGTTGTATTAAAAGAAGAATAGTATTTAATTTTAACAGAATTTTTTATTATTTTATTTTATTATTTTTTATTATATTATATTATTATTTTTATTATTTTTATTATTTTTAGTTATTTTATGCATGATTTGATTTCCCTGCAAGTTGCTATCTGTATAAGATCTACACACAGGGGTTGTTCTGTTTCCTCTGTGAAAGAATGCAGGTATGCATGAAATGGCCCGTACCTTCTGTAGCCAGTCTAGACATTTGATATTAATAGAATCAGTGACCAGGTTCTCATATGGGTGGTTGTGGAATATAGGTGGTTGTTACATGCAAATTCTGCAGTGTGGTTTAACTATGGCTTGTTGTTGGGTCGTGAACGCTAGGTTGTCCACATGGAACTCATAGTATAAACCTATAGCAAAGGATTTGCATGTAATGACAACCCACAGTTCGGCAGCAGCTCATGAGTTAATGATAGCCCATACTCACTTTGTACTTTGGTGGTCGTTGCGTGTGAACCAATTCAGTGTAAGGTGGTAGGCTGGATACTGTGCTCAGATGAGGAAGACTAGACTTCAGATTCTTGTTTAGTGAGTAAAGGTGTAGATTGTAACAGTTATTTACAATATATTCAGAATCTTATTGCATGATGTATCCAAAGGTTGCAAGGATTTTTTCCAGCAGGCAGTATGCCTGAGTATACAAGTTTCTGAGGAACTTGAGAAGGAGGGTGTTGTTGCTTTCATGTTGTGCTTGTGGGTTTCTTGTAGGCAACTAGTTGGCCACTGTGTGAACAGAATGGTAGAGTAGAGGAGCTTCGGTCTAATCCAGCATGGTTTTATAATTCTGGAAATGCTGGGTTTTGTGTGTGAGAAGTGGCCCTTGCTGATTTGTGATCCCTACATGGTTACAACCTTCAAGCAGTATTGGGAACAGTAGGATATACGCGGGGGTGCTCATGACATCCGATGATCCCTCATCTTGTTATGTGGGAGTGTTCTACCAACCCTCTCCAGAGAGAGGAATAGTTGTAAAATGACTCATCACAATTCCCTCCTGAATCTCAAGACAGAATGTAAAGATGGTTGTGAGGGGGGGTAGAACACAAAAAACAAAACCACTGCTATAGTTTGCAAGGAGAGCTAGCAGTGAATCTTAAGCTGGGTTCTGTTCTTTGTACATCAGGAAGAGACTGTGTGGGTATAGTGTTGGTATAGTGAGACAAATTGGCATTATGAAGAGAAGAATCCCAAGCAGAGCTGTTCTCTATTTATAACCTCAAGGGCTCTGGCCATCTGTCAGGAAGCCAGGATGACTCATAGATATGGGGGGAAGGGAAAAGGGGAAAGAGAGTCTACTTTAATTATATAGTAAGTGCCTGTAGATTAGGATGTTCAGATCCCTTAAGCTTCATTCAAAATCTTTCATTCAAAATCATGCTTTCTTGCAACCAGTTCATAGCATTATTTTCTCCTCCACATGTGTAGGCCCTGTCCTTTGCTTGGTCCACACTAGGGCAGAGTGGAGAAGCATGGAATGGGACAATGGATGTCCTAGCTGGACATTCTGATACAGGTGTGGAAATTAATCTTGGCTACATCCTTTTACAATCCAGCTGATGCCTTGTTTCCTCATGTGGTTCCGGGTGTGTCGGGGGGGGGGGCACCAAGTAATGCCCACAGCTGCTCATGTAGAGAGGAAAATAACTGTTATACATTATAATTTGGTAGATTCTGCATATGTTCAGAGAAGCCCAGTTTAGTGGGAAGCATCCAAGAGGTGATGTATGACTGGCTGGCTGTGGAAGGCAGCAGTTCCCATGGGGAATAAAGTGTTACTGTCTTTACTCTACTGCCATGTACTTTGTTTTGGATGGGGAAAGGTTATGTGACATTGAAGTCTCGGCATCTGGGGAAGGAGATGCTCCAACTTTCCCTTTGGTTCAATGTGGCAGAACATTGCTAGTGGGCATCTGTCATCCTGACTATGACTTCATGTGGGGCACTCAGAAGTCTCAATCATGCTGCCTCACAGAGAGAGATTGTTAAAATCTACTTTGCAGGGACAGGGATCCAGTAAACATGGCAGTTCCACCACTGGACTGGGACTCAGGAGTTCGGGGTTTTAGTCCCCACTCACCCCTGAATTTCACTGGGTGACTCTGGGCCTGTCACAGGACTCTCAGCATAACCTACCTCACACGTTTGTTGCTGTGAGGATAAAATGGAGAGGAGGAGGAGAATCTTGCAAGCTGGTTGCACAAGGATTAATAATGTGATTATAAATAATAATAATAAAGAACAATATTCCTAACAGATGTTTCCAGATCTAATCTAATGTACATTCTGACTCAAAGAGTTAGGATTTGAGGGGAGAATAGGCACAGTCACCTAACATCTGCCTTGGTCAGACCTGGCATCTAAAGTGCCTTAGTACTGGAACACACTAGCCAACTCACCCAGTTGACCTGTGTTCCAACCCAGCATAAACCTGGCTGCCCTGCAGTTTGTATGATTTTGGACTGTGATGAACTCCCCAGGGAAGGAACTCTGTACCTGTGGAGAACCACTAGCAATGGCTTGCTACATCCCTTAATTGGAGCATGGTGCCTTTTTCAGCCTGAGAGCCAAAATGCATTTTGGAGAAGCTCTTGCAGACAGTATTCCAGTAGGGGGAGGTGCCAGAGCAACAAGGGCGCAAACCCCCCAAAAACTAGCAGGAATACCAACTTAGTTGAGGTTAGTGCTCTTATTATCAGTAGCTAAGCCTTAAGGAAGGCATTTCCACTGTTTAAAAGGAGAGACAGTACAAAATTTGGAAATCACCAAATGATCAGTGGTTGAGGGAAAGGGTGTGGAACTGTCTGGAGAATTCTAGAGGGTTTGATTTGGCCCCTGGGCCTGAGATACTTCACCTGGTAAAGACTGCTCTGCACATAGCATATTGTTTCCTTATTGGTCCAGGCAACAGTCTAATTTTTCTTTCTCTTTGTTTCTAGGTTGCAAAATACAGGGGTTCCGTGAAGGATTTCCCAAACTTTGATGCCAACCAGGATGCCGAGGCACTGTATAATGCTATGAAAGGATTTGGTATGTGCTGCAGCTGTTGTCTCCTGCTGCTCTGAATGAAAAAATTGTGTCATTAACTTGTGATTGTGGTTTTCTGACGTGTGTTAACTGTTACTTACAAGCAAAACACAAAACATTCCTGGTTTTCCCAGTAGGAACACCTGAGTGATGGCAACCATAACCACTTTGCTTTTTCTTATGGAAAAGTCAAACAGTGATGAGACAGGAAAGTGAATTGTAACTTTTCTTCTTTTGGCATGAATATAGTTGCTTTTGAATTGTCTTGGGTTATTGCCACTCCTTTGAATAATGTGTAGCCCACTTGGAATAGACATAAATGTAAAATAGTACAGCAGTGACCATGCTTTTTGACAAACATGTCTCAGGTTTGGAACATTGTCTGATAGTCTCTCATCCATGCTTTCATTCAGCTTAGCCAAGGTGCAGTACAGCACAAGAGAGGGGGGGGGGACTGTAGGTCTGACTGGGTGCTATAGCCTAGCCTTTCCCAATTTGTTTTATTCAGATTTTATTCAATTTGTTTTATTCAGATAAAACAAATTCATTCATTATCAAATTCATCATAATTATCATTCAATAAAACATTATTCATTCAGGCCCCTCTTGTCTGTTTGTGTAAAACAGATAAAGAATGCTTTCAAAGAGTTTCCTATTTTAAAGTTTTTGGTTCAGTTGAAAATTCCTAACTGGTTATGGGGCATTTTCTCTCTGCCGATGGTGCAGAACAGGGAACAAGCTGGACAGGAACAAATAAGACTTGCATCCCTCAACAGTCCTCCTATACAATTGTAGAATCATAGAATAGTAGAGTTGGAAGGAGCCAAGAAGGCCATCAGGACCATCCCCCTGCTGTTGCAGGTCACCAGTCTACACCATCCCACTTGGGTGATGGTCCAGTTTCCTTTTGAATGTCTCTAGTGTGGAGGAGCCCATGAGCTCTCTAGGCAACTGGTTCCACCGTTGTCTTGCTCTGGCAGTTATAAAGCTTCCTGATATCTAGCCTGGTTCATCACAACTTGAGCTGATTATTCCATGTCCTATAATTTGGGCTGAACAAGAAGGGATCTTGTCCTTTCTCTTTGTGACAGGCTTTCTGGTATATAAAGTGGTATTGTGTCTCCCCACAGTCTTCCCTTCCTAAGGCTGAACATACCCTGTCTCTCCTCACAGGACAGTGTTTCCAAACCCTGTATCATTTTTGTTTCCCTCCTTTGGTCCCTGTCTAATTTTTCTGCATCTTAATTTGTGGTGCTCAGAACTGGAAGCAGTATTCTAGATGAGGTCTGACTAGTGCAGAGTATAGGGGAACTATTACTTCTTGTGATTTGGAAGTAATGTTTTATTAATGCATACCAAAATATCATTTGTCCTTTTTGTGGCTGCATTTCTTTGTTGGCTCATATTTAGCCTGTTGTCCACAAGAACTCCAAAATCTTTTACTTTTTCAGTTCTTTTGAGCCACACATTCCCCATCTTGTATACATTTGGTTTCTTTTTCTTAGGTAGAGGATTTGACACTTGTCCCTATTTATTCTCATTTTGCTGCTTTCAGCCCAGCTTTCAAGCTTATCAAGATCACCCTGGACCATCATTCTGTCTTCCAGGATGTTTGCTATTCCACACAGTTTTGTCTCATATGCAGATTTCATTATTGTTCCTTGTACTTCATCATTGAAATTATTAATAAATGCATTGAAGAGCACTGGGCCCAGAACTGAGCCCTGCAGCACCCCACTAGTTTGGGAAGGTGCCATTGAAGAGCACACTTTGTCTTCAAATTAGCAGCCAGTTTTGGATCCACCTAATAGTTTTTCTATCTAGTCCACTTTTTGCTTTGCTAAAGTCTAGGTAGATTATGGCTACAGTGTTTCTGCTTGTCCGTTTGGGAGGTTACCCAGTCAAAAAATGAAATTAAATTAGCCTGACAGGATTTATTCTTGGTAAATCCATGTTGGCTTTTATTAATCATTGGATTTTCTTTCAAGTGCTTGCAGACTGATGTTTTAAATAAATTGCTCCGGAATTTTTCTAGGGTTTGATGTCAGAGTAACATCTGATGGTCCTGTCCTACTATGTAGTAAGGGAACTTCTGTTCCACATTTTTCCCTGTCTCTCCTGTGGTAGGACAGGTGGTAGGTTACTCAGTATTCTTGGCTTAGAGGGTAACCTTAGATTTAAATATGCTTCCCATTCTGTCATTTCAGGTAAAAACAGAGGTGAGACTCTAATCCAGATGTTTCAGAGCAGATTCTAGTATGAGTTGTGTGACTTTGCTATCTTTGGCATGAATGACCCTCTTTTCTTCTGTAGGCAGTGACAAGGAAGCCATATTAGATCTCATAACATCCAGAAGCAATAAACAAAGAAATGAAATCTGCCAAGCATACAAGGCTCTTTATGGAAAGGTAAGCCTGAGAAGGGACAGGACTTTGTCTCCGTCTAAAAATCCTGAACATCTCTCATATCATGCAAACAGGCATAAGTGCCAACATAAAGTGTATGCATCATATTATCCTCTGTATGCATCATGCTCATGGGATGCTCAGTCTTCTACTCCAAACCTGAAATACACTGACAGTGATGCTGATACCATACTGCCCCCCACAAGTATAATTGCAGCACAGGTGACTTTGATCAACAGGGAGCACGAAAGACATAATTGGAAGAGAACCCCTGTTGAATTCACAAATCTAGATGCCAAATTGCCAGTGGTGATCATATCTCTGGCAGCGGTCCCCGTTTCTGTGTCACACACATTTAAGGCATTTTTACAAAGTGGGGAGTGGGGACAGCAGTGCAGTGGCTATCCTTGAGTGCGTGAACATCCTGTATAATGCATGATGGTTCGAATGCTGCTGCTTGTTTTGTGCTATCCCCTTCACTGTATCTTCTGAAATGTGGAACTTGAAAGGTTTGAGTCTTGTCTGAATTAGCCCTAGACTGTGAATAACAGTATAGAGGGAAAGCTCACTACTTCTCTGTCTCTTTCTTACAAGCCAAGTAGGACCTGGAGAATCCAATTCTTCCACCCTGCCATCCACTAATGAACCTTTTGGAACATACAGAGAAAGTGGTGTGGGAAAAGTAGTTGATGTCTTAGTAGATACACATTTGTGGTTGCCGATTTGTGGACCCTTCCCTGAGTGTGTGAAAGGCAGTGTAGTAGATGCCTCCTTTGGGAGTGTTGGGAAATGTTTCAGGTTGATAATGGTGCTTTGGCTTAAATGTGCTGTTCCTTTTGAGGAACCCAGGATGGTTTCATTTGTATGATCCCCTCCAATTTAGCCCCTCAGTGACAATCCTGTGAGGTGGATTAAGCTGAGAGTGAGTGATGGGCCCAGAGTCACCCTGTTGCCTCCATGACTGAGTGGGGACTAGAACCTGGATCTTGAACATGCCCAGTCCGACGCTAACCACCGTACCACACTGGCTCTCTGCTTATCCTGGGAGTACCACTGTCAGATGATTTCCAGGAGAGCTCTTATCTCTGTGGTGTCACTGGCTAGCCTTGGACAGATAATCTGTTTTCAACCTGTACAATGGAAATGATGGGGTGAACATTAAAAAGCAAGCAAAGCACTCGGGAAATTAAAAGTGCTATCAATATGATTAGCAATAGTATGCATAGTAATAATGGTATTGGTTTCAATTAGTCTTTAATTGTATCACCCTTTCAGTGGAGAAAATCTTCCAAAAAGTCCTTCTTAGTGGATCTTTACTGTTTATTTAAAACAGCTATGTCTCATCCAATACCAAGGGTCTCAGGACTAGGATAGATAGCTGCTTTCCTTTGTAGGCTGATGCCAATGTATCACTTTATCAATATAGGTTGTGTGGGCTCTGCTGATCAACCATTGAGCTGTTCTCTGTGCTTTCGCCTTTTGCAACGAATGATCTTCTAACAAAGTGATTCCTGAAGCAACTCCTTTCCCCTCTCCCACACTTTTCTTTTTTGGTTTTTTCTACTGTTTCATTAGGACCTGATTGCAGACTTGAAGTATGAACTGACTGGGAAATTTGAGCGGTTGATTGTGGGTCTGATGAGGCCCTTGGCATACTTCGATGCCAAGGAAATCAAAGATGCTCTAAAGGTAAAGAACTGTAGGTTGTTTCTTGTTTCTGGTACACATGACAATACTGGGTGCTCTTCACTGTCCTTTTCAAGGATGTTTCTCCACTGGGCTTATCTTATGCAAAACTAGAAAGTTGGTGTTAAAAATGAAATTAGCTCAGTGAGTGCTGTATTGCAGACAGCTGACTTGTTTTCTTTACTTGTAGGGCATTGGAACAGACGAGAAAGCCCTAATTGAGATTCTGGCATCACGGACTAACAAGCAGATCCATGCTTTGGTGGAGGCCTACAAGGATGGTAACTATGGAGGGCAGGGGCTTTGTTGCCGCTTTAATCTTTTACTGGTTCCAGCTTTTGAGGTGGACCCATTATACTTAGAGTAGCACCATTGAAATCAATATTCCTTAGTTATGACTAGCTTACATCCCTGTGATTTTATTGCGTCTTCTTTAATTATTGACCAAGTCTGAACCCTACCAACTGTTAAGCCATGGATGTTAAACTAAAGCTGCAGTTCTATGCACACTTAACCTGCGACAACACTGCACTGATGCATTGACTTTTTACTGTTTGGATGGAATAATTTATTCACAAATGCAGTAACATTGGCTCCTTCCCAGATCTCCAACCCCACTCCTGGTTATTTTAGTTTATGGATTTATGCAATACCCTGCAATCAGAATTCCCAGACAAGCCTAGAAACATTCAAAACTCAGTAAAATAAATTAAAAATGTTCAAACATGCACAGCTTATAAGAAGCTAATAGAAATTTTTGTGTTGGTTATCTGAGTGATGGTAGGTAAAGACCCTTCTCTGTCCTTGAATAAACATTTATAATTTGTTTATCAAGTGGTGCAAACTATGTTACTCTGCTTGTCCTGGTCAGCTGGAGGAATGTTGAATGCTTTCTCAGTTTTGTTTCTGAATTTGAGAATGTGGTGATCCATCCTGTGGTTGCAATAGATGAAGGCAATCAGTACCATGTGCCTCAGTGGCAGCATTGAGAGAACAAAAGTGTAGAGGAGCATTCCTTAAATGGAGTTCCACTTAGAATGGTGGAAATGGAGGGTGAGGTCATTGTCTTACTGTCTGTAGCCCCCAACATCACCTCCCACAAAGTTCTGCGGGATCTTCCAATCTTCTGGAGAATTGCTGGAGCAGATTTGTAGGGTCCAGAGGGATAAGTTAGGGAAGCTGAAGTGAGAGAACTGACAAATACTGGTTCTTTTTTAGTTCTACCTGAGGAGGTGCTTCAGTTGATTGGATGCCAGTTGACAGCAAATGCCCTTCTATCCGTGGAAGGAAGACCTTCCATTCAAGTCATTAAGATGTATTTGCAGTCCAGCAGTTCAAGACCCCAACCAGCCAGTCCATTTCCCCTAAATTCACATTCCATTGCATGGGCTAAAAAGAGGAAAAGGATGCTTTGGAACTAGGGGAATTTTTTTCCTTTCACCTCTGCTAGCCTCCCTACTCATGCATGGCAGTCACAGTACAGATTGGGGCCTCTGTATTACGCTAGAGTAAAAACAAACCAGGATCACCTAGATGCTACATACTTAACATTTTGTGTGTACCTTAGCCCTGTATTTACTCCAACATGTGAAATCCATAGCCTGTGTTATTAGCACAGCATTTGGTTTATTACAAAATGGCTTTATGAATCAGATTTCTCTTTGGCTCCAGCCAGATTCTGAAATGTTGACGTCATCTTCAGATACCAGCATCTCTTTTTCTGAATTATCATAGTGCTTTTCAAATAGTTTGTACAGTGACTTGGTTCACATGACATGACAACCCATCATGAGTGACAAATTACAGTGGATTATCATGCTGTTCAAATGCAGCCTGTTTGAGAGCAGCAAGCTACCCTGACAATCCATGGTTTGTTGTAGGGGTTGTTGTTCATCTGATCCCAGGTTATTGTGGTTAGTCACCTGGACCCCCTTATTGCTCTCACCAATCTCTTTCATATCCGGAGAAATGTGGGGCCAGATTTTTCTGTTCCTCTGGCATTCATGGTCTTCTCCTACTTGGCCTGCTCTTCGAAAGTGAGTCAAGCTGAGAGAAAGTTTATGAACACTTATGAGACCAAGGTTGTGCATCTAGCAACCATCTTCTGTTTCACGTGCAGCATCATAAAACAAAGGTGATACAGGACTCGATTCCTGGTGAGTGCTGAATGGATGCTGGGTGCATTTGCAAGGAAACACAAGCTCATGGCCAAAACAAAGGCTGGAGTCCAGGGAACTGAGCCCAGGGAATCTGTTGAGTTCCCACTCCAAAGATGGATTCCCACACATCCCTCCGTGGGCCACTGACAGTGACAGCTACCCCACATATGCCTACACAGTCTTTTGGATCAATCTTCTCACACTGTGCTTTCCCACACTGCTATTGCAAGCCATTTTACCTGCATAGATCTTTGTCAGGAAATATTACTAACCCTATCAACAATATTCTTTAGAACAGAACCAAAGTTTTGACATTTAGTTTTCAAGACTCTGTGCTCCCACTTTCCTAGGGAAAGGCATCATATATTTTTTCAAAATAGAAACATTTCCTGTGATTCATCTGTCATCTTTCTTTTCTGGCTTCTTGATCAGGCATCAAAACCACAGAAATATACTGAGTTATCATTGCTGTAAAAAGAAAAGCATATTTCCTACTGCATCCCATAGGCCTAAGTCAGCTTACAATTAGAATAACTTTCCCATTCAGGGCCAAACCTGCACGCATACCTAACCACTTTCCTCTCCTGCCTTAACCTTTCTGTAAAACCTAGAAATTATTTTAGCCTAGACTCCAGATACAGTCAAAATGCAAACATTGAAAACCTAAAGTTAACAAGCTTTTCCTACCCTGCTTTGATTGTATAATCCACTCATGGAAGCCCCTTCTCCAGTTCACAATTGATTCTTGCATCATCACACCCCCAAGCTGTTCAACGTTATACTCCAAAATCCTTCCCATGGGGGTGGGGGGGGGGAATCTACAGTAGGCTCTTTTTTTACTGGCATTGTATTATTTAACTTGCACGGCTTTCACCCTAAACTGTTCTTCTTGCACTGTTTCTGCCATTTTATCCCAGTCTAATTATGTCAAGGTTTTTAAATACTGCATTTTTCCTAAGGTACATATTTCAGGGTGTTCTGAAGGTGTGGCTCTGCTCTGGGTGGCGGAATAGCTTCAGTGTGCTGGTGGAGAGTGGTGCCGCCAGAACAAGTGCTGTATTGAGCACAACAAAGCAGCAACAACTCGTGAGAAGGACAGAAGCCTCATCAGCCTTCCCACCTCCCCTTCGCATGACTTTTTTTCTTTCTGACTTGCTCTGTGAACTGGGAAGTACGAAATGCACTGCTGTTTCCCACAGAGAAAGTTTGCAGTGTGTTTTCAAGCCTCTCCAATTGTTTTCTTCATTCTCTTCCCTCAAGGAATAGCTGTCTGAAAACATGGATCCTTGTGAGAAAATGGTAGCAGGCAGCCTCCTGCTGTTTTCTCCTCATCTCCTTTCCTTCTCCATGATTTTGTTGAGGGGGCAGGATGAGCTATCAAGTTTTCCCCCTTTTTAAAAAATAATCACTACTCTATTCTGACTGTATATGGAAAGAGCTCTAGTGTAGATCCAAGCTATTACCCTTTACCTTTCTTTTTCTAGTCCCACTGCTAAGGAATGCCTTCCCACAGGGAGGATTTAATAATCAACGTATCTCATCTTTGCATATTCCAACAGCATATGAAAGGGACCTGGAGCAAGATGTCATTGCAGATACCACTGGACACTTTAAGAAGATGCTTGTGGTTCTTCTTCAGGTATCTTGCTCTCGGTGCTTTTCTTGAATTTTCAACCCCTTCACGTGCTTATGGTGTCCTAACACAGTTGATTCTCTGCTTCTTTCCACAGGGCACCAGAGAAGATGATGATGTTGTGAGTCAGGACTTAGTGGAACAGGATGCCAAGGTTGGTGTTAAGATGTGGTACTTTGGCCTCTTGATGATGATCCAAAAATGAGCCTGCCTTCATGCTAGGGCAGGTCCAGACCTAGGACACACAGGTGTGTGGGGGAGCCTGTCCAGTGAGTTGCAAATTCTGAGGCAATTCCTCTCCACCCTCCATGCCCCATCCATCTATGTAGTGTTCGAAGCACAACCTTGGGAAGACACTTCCCAAGTGTCTCTCTCTGACATCAGAGAGAGCAGATCTGAAGAGAGGGCATCTATGCTTTTTGCCACACATGATACTGATTTATTTGGGTATGTGCAACTTGAGGCTTCTGTGGAAGAACTGGAACTGGTTTGGTTGCTGGAACCAGTTATTCTTTGGATATGCATAATTATTAACTGTGTGTGACCCCCAAAGAAGTGTCAAAAGCTTCCTGTTTACATTTAAACTATTGAACTATCACTGTGGGGAAAAACTGCTTTCAAAGGTGCTGCCTTACAGTTTGTCTCATTTCACTGCAGCACATAACTCATGGGAGTTTATTTAACTCCTATTGAACTCCTAATTGTTAAGGTCCTGCAGTGCTTTGAAAAAATACTCACCTGCTCCCCGTTGACTTTTCCACAACCTGGAATCGAAATACAGTTAAATGGTATTGTTGCCACTTGATGTACCAACACTGTGATACTGCAAAATATTTTTATTGTGGCAAACAGGTTACCTAAATGAAAACAAACACATGAGTATTCACCCCTTTGGGTGCAGACTTGGTGGAAGTGGCTTTTATAGTAGTTCCAGCTGTGAGCTTTGCATATCTGGATCCTGCAGTGTTTGCCCAGTCTTCATGGCAAAGCTGCTCCAGCTTTGTCAGGTACACGGGTCCCATCAGTGAACAGGAATTTTCAAGCCTGAGCTTTGAAGGGTGAATTCTAAGACATTCAGGTTATTTTTAAGCTATCCAGTGTTACTTTGAATGTTTTAGGGTCATTGTTCTGTTGAAATGTGATTCGGCCCCAATCACAGGTCCCTTGCAGACTACAAGAGGTTTTTTCTAGGATTGCCCAGTATTTGCCTTCATCTGTCTTCCTTCAGCCCTGACTAGTTTCCAACTCAATGCTAGGGAAAAGCATCCCCACAACATGATCATGTGTCACTGTGGGAATGGTGTTCTCTCAGGACTTTGAGCACTGTTGACTTTATGCCACCTATAGAATTTTGCAGGAGGGCCAGAAAGTTGAGTTTTGGTCACATTTGACCAGAAAACCTTTCCCCTCATATTTGCTGTATCTCCCACATGACTTTTTGCACACTCCAAATGGACTTCGACATGAGTTTGTTCCAGCAATGGCTTTCTTCTCATCACTCTCCCAATAAAGTTCAGTTTTCATGGCTCATCCAAATGACAGCTGCCCCATGGGTGGTTTCAGCTTCATGTGGACCTTCTGCTCCTTCAGAGTCACCATTAGCCTTTTGATTGCTTCTGTGACTAATGGCCTCCTTAACTGCCACTAAGTCTTGATGTACAGGCTTCTCTGGGCAACGTTGCAGTTCATTGATATTTTCATTTTGTAACAATGAATTTAATGGGATATTTATTTGGTAGTTCAGGAGAGAAAAAATTATAATCCAGCCGTGCTTGGTGCTTCTACACAACTTTATCTTGTTCTGATAGGTTCTTAATCTTCATAGGTGGTTTGTTCGAATAGCTTGCTGTTTGTTTTCACTTTCATATTGCTGAATATTTCATGTACATCAGTGGGTAATTATGCCAGTCAAATTCATTTCATTTCCAAGGTCTAACACAAAATGTAGAAAAGGCAAAGTGACGTTCAGGTAATGCTTCTGTAAGGCACTATAAATTTACCTACATGTGTACCCTAAATGTTCCCAACACCTTGTGCCACAGAATGGTGCCAATGCATTCTTTGTGGCCTTTATAAGTAAAATGTAGAAGCATTGTAGATAAAACTGAACAGACATTGTTATGTGATCTGACTTAAGGTTATGATCTTGTGCCCAGTATATATCTATGGCAGTACACCATAGACCTAATTTCTGTTTTGCTAAATCTTGTGCTTCCTGCCATTTAAAGTAATTTGAAGTTGAATAGCTCCCAGCAAGTTCTAATGAGCCTAGCTTAATAGTAGGACCCAGAGATGTCCTACTATTACTAGATGAACTGATTGCTTTGGTCCAATAAATCTTGTTTATCTGTTTTATAGAAATGTTAATAATAATAATAATAATTTTGAGAAGTCAGTGTTTTTGTCCAGGGTTGGATAGATCATTGTTCTAAGCTATATTTATATAGAGTTTTAAAATGAGAGGAGTAGTTGGCTCTTTGTTACACCCTGATTTTAAGCTGGGGGACGTGTGTGTTTGTATTTTTCAAAAGGACCTGTTGGAAGCTGGAGAGCTGAAGTGGGGCACTGATGAGGCCCAATTTATCTACATTCTTGGAAACCGAAGCAAACAGCACCTTCGGCTGGGTGAGCTTGAGTACTGCATTCTTAAAACATTAGTTGATTCTTAAACTGTAACTAGAGCTTCCTCTTAGCAATGTTCCATGTGTCTTCCTAAATAAATTGTTGCTTTGGTTATAATGCACAGGAAGAGTCCATCAACCTGCTGCCTAGTGGCTAAATTTAGCAAATTGCCACAAGGGAGGAAGTGAATATTCTGCCAAGGCTGCTGTGTGGTTTTGGTTTTGGTTTTTTGAATGGGTTCCCAGTGCCACATGGACAATCTGATCTGTGCTTTTGTGCTTCAGACCTTTCTTCCTACTGCAAAACAGATAACGTTTTTATTCATTTCTCCTTCATACCCCAAAAGGCATGAAAAGTATAGAAAGTTGATCCTTGTTCTTCATTCTGCACTCTACTT